GAAAAACTTAAGAAATGGACAACATTGTCCATTCGAGCAAGGAGCCTGCCATCTGGCTGGTGAGCGGAAATGAATACATAAAATGCAAATTTGCATTTGTTTACCATGGTTACAGTTTCCAAACCCTTAAAATCGTTTTGTGTTTCAAACTACAGTAATGTTGTAATAGCACAGTGAACAGCTATAAGAATAGCACATCTATCCTTTATTTGAATTCACTTATTAATGATGTATCTCATGTGCTTTTTATTTGCCATCTATAAGAGTGTGGACTGATTTTCAAAAATATTTTATAATTTATTACTACCCTTAGTTAATAACTTTTGGGGGGCAAACAATCACAGATTTGGCCAGTGAGAGGCACTGCTTTGGCTCCTGTATCCTTATGGCATGCCATCATCATGTTTTTATTTGCTTATTCGGGTGTGTTTTTTAAAAGACCTTCTTTGCTTGTTTTGTGTTGTGCCTATCCTGCCCCTGAATCAGCCGTTTCCCCAAAGACTACTGATTCCTTTTCATGGGAAATGGTATTAGAGACCAAGATCTGGGTGCCCGTTGTGCTCATACTACTGGGTATCTTTGGTTCTAGGTCCTTTCAATAGACAGAGGAAATATGTGCATTTGCATACACAAATGCATCCTTTATATTTAGAGACCATCAATTCACACCAATACCTCCAGTTCCAGTCCATCCCAGAGGGTTCTCTCCCACGTTTCTGTATCCCTCCTTCCACAGTGAGAACCCTGGCTCCCAACCACATTAACACATGTATTCATTTGTCAGGTCCTGTAATGCATCTGAAATAATGTCAGCATTGTTGTGACCATATTGCTTCCCCAACCCAGCAAATGTCCTAAAAGGAGTTCAGCACTAACAGTTCTTCCCTCACCCTGATCCTGCCCAAGACTGAGTGCCAGTCAAATGATCATAAGCTACTTGATTACTTTTGTCTTTCTCCCTCAGTGTGGCTATGGTTTCATTTGAAATACAATCAGATACATTTGCCTTTTTATAAATATTTTTATTGATTTCAGAGAGGAAGGGAGGGGAGGGAGAGAGAGAGAAACATCAATGATGAGAGAGAATCATTGATTGGCTGCCTCCTCCATGCCCCCTACTGGGGATCGAGCCCACAACCCAGGCATGTGCCCTTGACTGGAATCGAACCCGAGACCCTTCAGTCCGCAGGCCGGCGCTCTATCCACTGAGCCAAACCAGCTAGGGCAGATGCATTTGTCTCTTAATTTGCTTCTGCTTTAGGGGTATTTTCCCTCCATCTCATACCTGTTCAAAACATTTTAACGTATATAACATTAACATGATTCTAAAAGTCAAAACTATAAAAACAACAGCTATACTTAGAACTGCCACTCCTACTTTGTCCCCTCTACTCCATTTGTCCCTGTCCCTTATTTTCTGCTTTATCCTCAGAAACATCCTGTAGTAACATATGCATGTTTCCGTATTTCCTCTGTCTTGTATGCAAAGGGTAGCACGCTGTGTGCTTTTGGGTCCAGCCCCTCCTATATCTTTCTTCATTGGATTGCACCATAAACAGAATTCGGATCTGGAACAAGTAGGCTTCTATCACACGTGAGTTGTCAGATCTCCAGTCACTTGTAAAAGTCTGATGGTTCTACCAATAGCTTTGTCAGATCAACTTTTGTAATAGTCACTGTTATTTTATCCCTTAGTAATAGGCTCCTAAAATGAGGCATTCTTACACAGAAGGGAAAACTTTTGTGTGAGGTTCAGACAGAAGTCCCAGGAATCAGGTGAGACTTTCTGGCATGGCAGGTCTGTTGTGATGGGGCTGAGTTATTTCCACTGAGTGAGGGCAGTACAGGGTGGACAGGCACCTAGGGGCTCCTCCACGTCCTCTGAGCCCTGGATCTTATGTGTCCTTTCGTGCTTCTCAGTTCTGCAAGGGTCATATGGCTTAGAGCCCAGGCAGAGCTGTTGGCAGTTTCCCTCCCTTTGGTGTTTGAGAGAGCTCCTCCAATCGCCTCTTTTAGGCCCAGATTCCACAGCTAAATAGTATACATTTGAACTCCACATTTGTACAGGGTTTTGTGAGTGCCACAGAATCATCTCATTGAATGTCTTATTTAATCCGTATGAAACAGGAGAGCAGGTCTTGTGTCTGCTTTGCACGTGAGGAGACTGAAGCTCAGAAGAGAAAAGTGGACGAGCTGGCTCTCCATCCGGGCCTCAGACACAGCGCCCGGTGTGGTCTGGGAGGACTGAGGGGGCAGCCGGTTCATTCCCGCACCTCCTCCTCCACCTGCCTCATAGCCGGCAGCGGGAGGCTCATGCCCAGTACATCTTAGTTCTGTCCAGATCAGTGAATGTTAATGCCTACTAAGTATTCGGCCCTTCGGAACTGTGAACGTTTTGTTATATGAACTTTTGTAACAGTGACTATTATTACTTAAAATAAAGGGGCCATAAGCCAGGACCCGGCAGTCTTTTTCATTCTCAGAAATTTTAGTCATAGTAAATTTACTCATGCATGCTGTTCCACGCCCCAACAACCAAAAATGGGCAACAGCGATGCAGCTTGTTAGAGAGGGGTTTCTGTATTCCTAATGCAAGAAAACTTCATAAAATATGATATTAAAGCAAACCTCCCTTACATTTCAGGGTAACTGTTTATTTTTTTTTAATTTATCAAGATTGTTGAAAGTATTAGAGTTGCCTCTTCTTTCCCCCCATAAACCCTCTCCACTTCACATCCACGTCTCCCAGGCCTTCACCGCACTATTGTCTATGTCCTTGGGCTATGGGTATATGCATATAAGTTCCCCAGTTATTCTCTCCCCATCCACCTCCCCACCCCCACCTTCCCTCTGAGATTTGCCAGCCTGTTCCATGCTTCTGGATCTATTTTGTTCATTGGATTCCACATATGAGTGAGATCATGTGATATTTCTCTTTCTCTGACTGGCTTATTTCACTTAGTATAATAATTTCCAGGTCCTTCCATGCTGCCTCAAAGGGTAAGAGGTCCAGGATAACTCTTTCACTATCTTGGTCATTTTGTTTTTCAAGAACTCAGGTCGGATATGTAACTGAAATAAGAATACGGTGTTTGTATGTAATCGTGCACGCTTAGTGCTCTAAGTTCAGAACCAGAACATGCCCAGAGATCTGTACTTGGATGCTCTGGGTAACAACGGGTTTGAAGGCCCGCATGCTTGTTCCTTACAGTGTGCTTAAGGAAACATTACATAATACGTTTTCATGTTGACACATGACGCTCCAGGGCCTCCTCTTGTTCAGGGATGTGATTCTGGATTGGGCGCGGCTTTTCCGAAGTTCACATGAATTTGGGGAATCTACCCAGGACCGAGTTCCACATGTCCTGTATCTCTCTGACCACACCTGGGCCCTCTCGGGTCCTTTCTCAGGGTATGGTTTGCACCTTCTTTTCTGAGACACCAGGTATTCTCCCCCGGAGGAGAGGCCCCTGAGCGGGGAGTGCAGACATCATCTCGGGGTCCTCACCACCTTTGCTCCCCTGCTGGCCCTGGAGGGCACTCCTCTGGGATCCGGGCCCAGGAGGCAGCACAGTCTTGACCTCCTCGCTCCCCTGAGGGTGACCATGGGGACGGACCAGCCCTCACAGAGCCAGACAGAGGTTCTGGAGCATCAGAAGAGTGGGTGATGAGCAATGAGCGTGTCCTTTCAAACTGGGCAGAGGGTGAAGCCGTGGCAAGGATGCCAGTTACTTAAGTACCGGCGTCACTGGCTATTCACATATCTGTTCAGCCCTCGACAGCCCAGAGTGGAGAGGGGGCCGAGGAGAGAGAATGGGGGTTGGCTTTCTGTAAGCAGGTCGTTTCCCTTTGTCATTGGGGTGGGTTAATGAGGCCCCTGAAAGGGAGATGTGCTGGCTTTGGATTGGGAGGAAGGCAGAGGCAGGCAGATGTGACCTCGGTCGGAACCCAGGGGTCTGTGTGTGGACGCTGCGCTGCCTGGAACCTCATCTTTCTTAGCAGCTTTTCCATGATACTTATTAATCCGCAACTCACATAACTTGGCTCCTGGAACAATTCTCGGCTGGAAAGGCAGATGGTTCCTTGTAGATGAGAGTGGGCAATCGTCCGCCTGACTCTCAGGCTTGCTGAGCAATGCGGGGTTCTGTGTGCGCATAGATGTAGGAGTGCAGACACGAAGGCGGAGTGAAGGCGGCCAGTTGGGAACATGGACACGTCCGCCAAGCCTTTCCAGGGCAGGTGCTCCTCTAGACGGGCAGCAGACCGCACTGCCTCTCACCTCCAGCAGGAAGACTTGGGAGCAGATCATGGCAAGCAGCGGGGTTAAGCAAACAGTGGTGCCTCACCAGTGCTCCGTTTCCTGGCTGGGACGGGGGACTGGGGCTGAGGCGGGTCTCCCCTGAGTCTGTCCACTGCTCTCCGGAACCTGTGGGTGGTGGGAGGGAGCCCGGACCACTCCGCCTCTCAGGGCTCTTGTATGGGACAGGGGCGCACACATTAGGAATGTTCTGGAACTATTGCAGAAACACTGACCTGGTGCTCTCTCTGACTGCACCTCCCCCCCCCCCCCCAGTCCTTTCTCTTTGAAGTGCGATGCCTGCTATCTGAGGAGGCTGACAGGGCGGGGCGGGGAGGGGGTGGCAGGGAGGGGGCACCTCTGAGCTCTGAGTCAGGCCCCTGGGGTGGGAGGTGTCAGGCCTGCCCTGATGGCACGTGGTGCTTTTGGCCCAGGCTCCTTGGGAATCTCTGGAATCCTGGAGGGAGTTTGTTGGCTAGGAGCGGGTGCATGTGTGTGGGGTGGTCTCTGCAGCTCTCACACTCACCGTCTTGCTTGGGAAGCCACTGCCCTGTCTGTCCACGTGTGTGGCCCTGTTGCTGTGCTCGTGTGGCTGCACTCGTGCCGTGTGTCCTGCCACGAGCCCTGGTGCCGCAGGGCAGACGGCTCAGGCTGCGGGTCCCCGCGGGGTCCTGACATGTGCTTCTTCTCTTGCCCCCCTCAGAGAATTCTCAAAAGAAAGGGAGAAGGCGAAGGCCCGGGGTGATTTCCAGAAACTGCGGGAGAAGCAGCAGCTGGAAGAGGACCTGAAGGGCTACTTGGATTGGATCACCCAGGCGGAAGACATTGATCCCGAGAATGAGGAGGAAGGAGGAGAGGAAAGCAAGCGAAATAGTATGTAGCGCCTTCCCACTCCTGACCAGTGCGTGTGCGATGCAGAGCTGCCCGGCAACAGGCCTTCCTGCCCCCTGACCCGGCCTGAGACCCAGGGCCCCTCAGCCATCGGTTCCCTCTGCCTGCACGTCCGAGAGCACAGTGCATGTACCTGCCTCTGAATTTCTGCCAAGAGGTGGATTTTAGAGTTGTTTCTGGTCATGTGGCTTTACGGTGGCAGAGGGTCCGACAGACTCACCCATGGCCTCAGGGATTCAGTAAGCCCTTCAGAGCGGGACCAGGTGTGGGAAGAGACCATAGGAGACAAGGCTGTGGTTCCTCCCCTTAGTGAGCAGTGTTATCGGAGAGCAGGGGCCCTCTCTACCCCTCTGTTGCCTGAAGCAGCTCCCACCTGTGCCAGCCAGGGGAAGCCAAATGCTTGGGCCCACTCGGGGCTGGGAAGAAGCCAGTTCTGGGCAACGTTAGGAGGCATGTGAGCCAGTGTGGCTGCTGTGGAGCCCACCCCTCTGGGTCCCCACACGGACACCAGGCACCCTCAGTACTTCCTGCAGTAACAAGGCCCAGTGCTCAGTCGACCACCAGAATTCACTGTCAATGTCAATCAAGACCATAGACATAGTCTTACCATAGACTCTTCTCACAAGCGTGCTCTTCCTCTCCTGGGGCCACCTGTGCCTCGGGTAAAGTGGGTGCTGACATTTAGCAGTGGGTTTGACTAAGATGTTTGTGATTTGTTTCTGATCTAGAATAGTTGGTAGTAAAGACCAACAACCCATTGCAGAGGTGTATGTCCATCAAGAGGTCTGGGAGACCAAGCTGGGCACTACTTCTCAGAAGACGGCCGAGGGAGCTCCAGTGAGTGAGCCCCTCAGACGTCATGCAGTCGTTCCTTCATTCAGCAGGGCCGGTGCTGATGCCGGGAGGACTCCTGAGATGGAGAGGCTGTGTGCTCCTTCTGCAGAAGGCCATGCCTGCACACACACAGGTGCAGTAAGGAGACAGACACAGGTTGGAAGGGAGGCAGGCGGTGTGCTGGGAGGACTCCTGAGATGGAGAGGCTGTGTGCTCCTTCTGCGGAAGGCCATGCCTGCACACACACAGGTGCAGCAAGGAGACAGACACAGGTCGGAAGGGAGGCAGGCGGTGTGCTGGGGGCTGAGAGGAGGAAGGGCTGGCTGTAGGAGAGAGCTGTGGAAGCACTGGACCTGGGCCCTAAAGGTCAGATCTGAGATATGTCACAGCTCAGTGTCAGGAAACATTCTGAGCCATGGCAATGGCATGAGGAGGACATCGAGGTGGGCAAACTAAGGCTTAAGGAGGAAGCGATGGGCTATTGGTTTGGCCGGAACCCAGAGGGTGTGCAGGTCAGGGAGACATGAAGCAGGGAGAGTGAGGCCAATCTGTACTGCTTCTGTAGGCAGTGCAGTGTGGGGGCTGAGGGCCATGCTGGAGGGGATTCTTTTCTTGACTGAGATGGCATTCGGTAACTTCTAGCCCGGCACTCTGAGGCTGTGATGCCACGGGGAGTGAGGGTTTCCTGCTGTCATGGATGCAAATGATCGCTTGAGTCCTGTGTGCCAATGGGGGAGCCATGGAGTGCAGGCTGCTCTCCTCTCCTCCCCCTCCCTGCTTCCTCCAGGTCTCACCCACTGCTCCTCAAGGAAGAGCCTGGTGTTCACCACCTAAGGATTAGGAAATTGCAGGGGGATTTCTAGTGCTGACTGTGCTTGCCAAATTTGAGATCAGAGTTTATAAGCAGAAGTTTAAGTTCCAAGCTCGGTGGTGTCCTCTAGGTGATTGGGTATAAGAGTGTCTGCATGTCCTCGGCACAGCACTCCCAGATGTGAGAGCCAGCCTGAGTCCCCAGGGCCTCCCCACCTGCAGTGTGGCGGGCAACTTGTGTGCAGCTTGGGGAATGCCTGCCTTGCTCTTTCCCTCTTCGTTCCCAAACCCCAGCACTGCTGCTGCCCCCTTCTCCTAAGCCCAGCCCCTAGCATCTTGTGTGTAAAATGCTGAAGGCACCCTCCTTCTTCTCAGCAGAGTGCCTTTCTTTGCTCTCTTAGGCGTGTCCTGTAGGGAGCCGTGCGAGGCGGTCTTGCAGGCTGATGGCCTTTCATCTCTATTGCTCCACCTCCAGAAAGAGACAGGGCCCCATGTGGTGTTGGCAGCCTCAGTTGTGGTGGGACCCTTTTTATGGCCTGTGATTGGGGAGTAGGGATGTTCATGGATTTGAGGCATTGCCTCTGGTAGTCCTGCGGGTCCACGCTGTGTCTTAGCCCAGCATTTCCTGTGTCCTGCTGCTGTCCGATGACACGATCAGTGCCTCTTCCATTGGAGACCTTGCCGTGGAGGGAAGACGGGAAAGCGGAGCCTCAGAGTAAAGCAGTGGACAAGCTGGCGCCGTAGTCAAGGGCCAGCAGCCTGCTGTGGGAGCCAGAGGGCTCAGCGATTCAGCTGGCGGGAATGCAGGGAAGGTTCCGTGGAAGAGGTGGGGATCCTGCTGAGCTCTGAGGGGTGAGCCTCCTCGCTTTTCAGGCTGAGGAAAGGGCATGAGCCAGGTGAGGAAGCTTACAAAAGTTGAAAGCTCTTAAATGCATCACTTAGTAAGATAATCAAGGAAAGAAACGCCCTTCAAAAGTTGTAGATCAGGGGTCCTCAAACTTTTAAACAGGGGGCCAGTTCAGGCCGTTGGAGGACCAGACTATAGTTTAAAAAAAAAACTATGAACAAATTCCTATGCACACTGCACATATCTTACTTTGAAGTAAAAAAGCAAAACGCGAACAAATACAATATTTGTATTTGCATGTGGCCCGCGGGCCTTAGTTTGAGGACCCCTGTTGTAGATCCTCAGAGTTCACTTTGTAGCGGGGGCTCCCAGGCCCCTAAAGCTGCACTGGGTCTCAGGATCGTCAGCCTGGTGGCTTCTGCTGCCCACAGTGATGCGTGATGCTGCCTGCGGAGCCAGCTGGGCAGGCGTCTGATCCAGAATAGCACATCCTTCGCGGGGCACCCTGTTATTCGTCAGCCTCGTTTGCCAGGTGCTGTGGTCTCCCGTGGAGCGAGGCTCGCAGTTTTTCCTGAGTCATCAGAGCTCAGAGCCCTGATGATTAGGGTTGGAAATGCAGACATAAATCTCGGGCTATGGGAACACGTTGGGGTGTAACTGACTTAAGAGAGCCCCACTCTCCTCCCAACGAGGCAGTGGGCCTCCCTGCATGTATTGTCAGCAGCTCAGACCTGGAAAACCATCACTGTGGGCTTCCCTGCGACCTCCTGTGGCTACTCGCCATTTTCCTCTTGTCCCAGCCAGAAACCACAGGAGAGAGGGTTTCCACAGGCCCATGTAGTCTTCTTCACCAACAAACAGAGGTTGACTTGCCACCTGCACACCCAGACCTGGTCTCTGCCACCTGGTAGCAGGCAGAGAAGTGTGGGCATGGCTGGTGCCAGCGAGCCTTTGGGTGTGTCAGATCGATGCCCACATACCTCACACGCCAGCCTGTTCCTGCCTTATGTCTGGGGAAGGGGAGGGGATGCCACATAGGGCTCCTGACCTTGCCCACACGCTTTAGGATGCTGACTTCACCAACTGCCCTTCTCAGGTGGGGACTGGATGGGATTCCCCAGACACTGAGGAATTAGGTGACAGTGTGAGAAGTCCTTCCTATGGCCCAGCTCAGTTGAGAGGAGCAAAGGGGAGGAGAGGAGGCCATTAACAACAGCAGGAGTCACGAGCCCACGGAGGGGGCGCTGGGCTGGAGGTCATTCTGATGCCCCTTCCCTGGAGCTGGCTGCGGCTAAGTTTTGTGACTTGGAATTTGGACTTGAGTGTTAGGCACATTACCCAACGTCTCTGAGCCCCATTTCCTTGTCTGCAAGAAGGGGGTCAAGATATTCGCCCATAGAGATGTCATGAGGGTTAAAGGTTCGATAGCTGGAAGGAGCCACCACAGCTGTAGGTCCATGCTGCTGCTCTTGTCATCAGACTGCAGTAGAACTTGACTGAAACAGAGATATTTTTGCAGATGCTACTGGACCTCAGCCCAGCCTCAGGGTGAGGACCCGTTTTAGGACCAAGTCCCTACACTGTGCTATTTAGAAACTGTAAGGTTCCCAAGTCGTGATGGAGAACAAACTTGACCTGGTCACTTTCGAGATACTGTGGCACAGCTTTCTGGCTCCCGAAGCCCATCTAGTGGTTGATGCTTCTGTCAGAGGACAGATGTCAAGTGTTTGGACCTGTGCGCATATTATCTTTTCTTTCTGATCTTCTAAATGTAATTTTCTGCATCGTGGTACCCAACTCTGGCTGTACGTGACAACCCCCTGGGAGCTCGAATGCTTCCCGATGCCGCCCCACCCCCTCGCTGATTAGTTGGTCAGTGATGGGACTCGATGTGACGTGGCTTTATGTACAGTCTCCTGGAGGTTGCATGTAAAGCCAGGCTGGGAACTCCTGAGTGCTCCCCACCCCCAGCCCCACCCCCACTGAGGAGCACACTGGCCTTGGCTGAACCTTGAAGGAAGATAACAGAGAGGCAGGTAGTCCCTCCGGGGCCGTGTGGTGGCTGCGTGGCTGGGGCCCTGGCTTCCTGCGTTCACAGGCCACTTACCTAAAATGTCAGCCCCACGCATTTGCTGTTAGAAAGCTGGTATCACACAATTAATTGAATGGGCAAAAATTTCCTTGGAAGTTAGTTCCTGAGCATTTGGGAAATTTTCAAGGATAATTTAACTTTTTGCTGAGCTTCAAATTCCGTAAGAAACCCTGCCAAATCTCCAAGCGATTTTTTAGACGTATGCAGCTGCTTCCGAGTGAACAATGGGGTTTTTCTAGGGCCATTAAAATCTGAAAGCCTAAAATTCTATTTTAAACTCTTCTCATTGTCAGTGATTAGTCTTAAAAAATGGCATTAAAAATAATGAAATGGTTTTAAAGGAGCTCATTCTGAAGTTGGGGCCAGAAATCCGGGCCAGTTCACGGTGGGAACTATGAGTGATCGAC